TCATCAGGCCTGTCGTCACAGGCACCAAAGTGCAAAGAGGTGACCAAGATGGTCTCTCCCTAAAGGTGGTGACAGTTCTGTTGGGTTTACACGTTGAGTGAGGGATGCTAGAGCCGGGTGATGAGTGCCCACACAGGGATGCCAGATGGAGGCCAACAGAGCATGGCGGGAACCTAGGCAGCGGCAGAGAGGGCTCTGTGAAAGATGGAGGCAGCAGAAAGCGCCGTACAATCAGACAGGATAAGAAACAGTCCAGGGCGCCTGGGTGGCACAGCGGGTTAAGCCTCTACCTTGGCTCAGGTCATGATCTTGGGGTCCTGGGATCCAGCCCCACATCAGGCTCTCTGCTCAGCAGGGAGCCTGCTTCGCCCCCACCCTCTGCCTGTCTCTGCCTACTTGTGATCTCTGTCAAATAAATAAATAAAATCTTAAAAAAAAGAAAAGAAACCGTCCAGGTGCTAGCCAGTTATGTAATCTGACCAATAATTAAAGCATTCTAAGATGTGGCTTCTACATCAATGAAATCAGGAGAATAACATCTCTATAGGTAGCTTATTTTAAGAAGGAAAAGAATGTGTGGAAAGCAATCAGTGTGGTTTCCTGAAAATAACGAGCAGTCAACAAACTGTACTGATGTTATTATTAGGCAGTCTTGAAAAAAAGTACCAGCGATTTCTGGTGCCTGAGGACAGGTAGCCACTGTGCCCCTGCCACTGGCCTCTAGACACCTTGTGGGGTTCACGGGTACCATGTTGCCTGAATTAATCCTTAGCTGTGGGCTACCTACAACCAGGAGGGCAACACGAAGCAACATGGTTCAAGAATGCGCAAGTTCACCAGTCACCCCGCCCTCTGTAAAGTCAGAGTTCACTCAAGAGGAATATGCCCAGGTTATTACCTCCATAATGTCAACAGGAGAGCAAACAGCACAAAAACCTCTCTCATCGGCCATGGTGGGGGCCATCTATGCGTCAACGCACGGAGCAGCAAACGGCAGTACGTCTGATTCCGTCATTATTACCAACAGTCAATGTGTGGTGGGAACGGAAAGAGCAGAAGTTAAAGTAGAAACTTCAGGAGGATAAAAAAGCCACGGCATACAGGAGACATTGCAGGGTACCAAGGACATGGGAACACAGGGATGCTTTGGTAGATGGCATCCTGAGGCTCCCGTATGCCAAGCTAAAGAGCGTATCCTCTTCCTGTGGGTAACGGACAGGTCTGTAAGGTCTTTAAGATGAGCTAATAGGTTTCAATCCATTGTTTTATCTATTGTTTTGACCTCGTGTCCATACTTAGTAAGTACTGCATAAGGTTATACTTAGGTTTCTGCAATTCGAGGATGCTTTTCAAAGATACGTATATGTAAGTACGGTGTTTGAGATCATCTCTTTGTCAGCTATCTCATCATTTAAACTGCATCTCAAATTGTTTTATTAAGGCAGGAATATGTTAAAATTAGGGTTTGTAGATGTTCCAAACAACACTTAACTACTTGCCTGTTAAGGATTAAGAATTTTCCTCCCTCCCTTTCATTCGCTACACATTTATTTAATGTCTACTATAAAGTGTCACATGTAATGCTAGACTTTTTTTTTAAGTAAGTTCCATGCTCAACATGGGACTTGAACTCGTGACCCTGAGTTCAAGAGTCACATGCTCTACTGACTGAGCCAGCCAGGCATCCCTAGACTCATGATAAAACCTTAAAAGTACATCCTATGTTAACTATAATATGCATCTTCTGTTCCTATTATCAACAGATCTATTTTTTTATCAACTATTCTGTTCCTATTATCCATAGATCTACTTTTCCACATTGTACTTTTAAATAATCACAGAAACTTTGATATTTTCCTTTAAATGATTTCGCCTTTGTGGGGTATGTGGGTGGCTCGATGGGTTAAGTGTCCGACTCTTGACTTCAGCTCAGGTCATGATCTCGGGGTTGTGAGATTGGGCCCCATGTTGGGCTCCATGCTGGGCGTGGAGCCTGCTTAAGATTCCTTCTCACCCTCTGTGATCCCCGCTGCTCTCTTCCTCTCTCTCTCAGAAAAAAAAAAAAAAGAAGAAGAAGAAAGATTTCCCCTTTAAGCTGTTCAATTAAATACATATATACAAAAATAAGCAAGCAAGCTGGTAAGACGTTTTAAGGAAGATCGCAAAGTCCAGTGAATGTGAAGTAAACAGAAAAATGGAGAAGGAAAAGAGCCTGGTGAAATCCTCTATAATTAAAGTCTGCAGCCTGAAGCATCTTCAGAAACCTGAGAAGGCATTTTCCCACCAATACAATTCTCAAGGAACCCTCACTGTGAGGGTTTTAAAGCATGAGGAGTTGTTTCAAGAGTGGGTTCTTTCTATCCCCACAGTTTAAAAGACATCACCATCTGTCATTCACTGGTGTTATTGTTGTTTTGATTTTTTTTTCTCCCATTTTCTTTTTTTTCTTATTGGTGAACTCTCTCCAGCACTCTTTAGATAAGTCAGGTGATTTCAGTAGCGTGCCCTCGGCTTAGTGAGAGAAAAACGAGGAAGCACAATGTATTGGTGGGCACGGGCCGAGGCTCAGCACCACTTGGCTCCCTTCCCTGACGTCCTGTTTCACATGGGGGAGCCGGGGAAGGCTCTGCAGCTCAGTTCCCTTTCCTGTTACACAATGAATGGTGTGTCTGGGGAACAGGGTGCGCTCTGGGCTCTCCCGCTCAGGGGAGAGTGAGAAGAACTGCCAAGGCCACGGTGTCCAGATGTCAAAGGAAGCTTTTTCAAGCTTGTACTTTCAGGTAGGCATGGGTCTTTTTCCTCTTGCACGCTTCGGCTCGTTTGTTTCATTTCCTCTGTTTTCCCTTGGATTGCTTTCTCCCTTGGTGTGGTGCGACAGGGCTGGGTGACTCCCAGTATACCAAGGGCAGAGGAGTGAGTGGTTTTTCTTCGGGACAAACTCTCATCCTTGAAGTTCACTTACTTTGTCATCTTCTGCAGCCTCTTCTGACCCAAATGTTAAGACTCGAAAGTTTGAGGCTATAGAGGGGCTCTATAACTTATTTTTTGAAGAAGGCCCTTCCTTGATTCATTCTTGATCCACTCATTTACTGAACCACCACTCGGTCGGGTACACCCGGAGACGGAAATGATGAGGTCCCTGCCTTGTAAAGATGACAGTGGAGGAGGGAAGGCCAACGTGACAGATACCTGACAGCGAGAGGGTTCAAAGGGTAACATCATGACAATCAGAACTTGCTGTCACCCCAACCACGACGTATGAACTAAACATCTGGTGTTTTTCCAGGTGAAGTGTAAAGCTATGTTTAGCAACTTCCGCTGATTTCAGAAGCTCTCCTGGAGCATGCGTGTGGAGGTCAACAGCTCCGGCACTACTTCAGATGCGGGGCAGAGGATCTGCTACAAATGCAGCATTGGCTTCCGTAACCTTGCAATTAACAGACGTGCTGAATTCGTTTCAAGATGTACTTTATTCAGTCATCTCAGAGCCTATGCATGATTTTCCCCTTTACGTCTACTCCCTACTTGAACTTTGCTGATTCTAGCACTACGGTTCCCTCGGTCCTCGCTGAGATCTGTTTCAAACCACACATCTAGCATATCGCCCGGTAGGTGCCTCGCATTTACTTCAAATGGAGCAGGACTTGGCCATATTTGATTTTTACAGGGAAGTCACTTGCTTTCTTCAAGTGTTGGGTCACAGGCTTATGTGTAAAGTGACACATCTGCAACTTGCTTTTCAATAGCAAATCTTAACAGTCCCCCACTGTCCAAAGTACTAAAGTTAACCTATCATATCCCTTTACCAAATAGATCGGGCTGGGGGACATGTGAATAACAAAACTGAAACTGCTGGATTTCTTCGCTGTGTATTCGTAATTAACAACCAGATTGCTACTAAGTCTGTTTTCAGAATTTCTAAAAGACGTTGCGGACGTAAGGGAGGCTTTTCAGCACAACTTCGACTAGTACAGGCTTCCCATCCAGTCAACAGAAACAGTCTTGCCATTGGTGACTGTTCATTGGAATCTGGGCATTAAATTTTAGCACCTATGCTTGCTTTTAGATTCAGGAATGTTTTTTTCCTGCACGAAACAACTGTAAAGGACACAGCGGATAAAAATATAAGCGCCTTGTTTCTATACTTTGCGCGTGATTTTCCAACAGCAGTTATCAGATTTCTTATCCAGAACTGTGGGTCCAATGTAATTATTTTATTGCTCAAATAGCTGTCATGGATCCTGGCATGCGCTTTTTCACTTAAATGTCCCTGTTTCTTGCTCATATTTACTGTGGCATTTGTCATCCGATGCCAGGTACTTGGACACGTGTCCATTTTTCTAGCTTCACGGTAAGCTCCTTGAGGGTAAGCGCCTGACCCGGACAAGGGATACAAATGAGACGAGGCATCTCCCGTCGCCACGACCCCTTCGTGTTCACGGTGACCACGAGAGAATCAAGGAGAGGAACACCAAGCTGTGTCTCTCTAGGATCCCACTTCATCCCTAACCTTCCCCAGACAAAGGGAGGAGATTTAAAACACCCTCACACTTACAGCCCCACACCCTTACCGCCAGGGCGAACAGTGGTTCCGATACAGTGCTCACGGCCGGATGCAAAATGAATGCAATGCCGTAGCGCGCCTTAACTAGACCAGACCAGGGCACCGAGCAGAGGAACCGAGGCACACTTATGCCACGGGAGTCCGAGGGGCTGCGGAGAAGAAACAAAGAACTGTGACGAGAGGGTGAGCGCTGGAAAACCCAAGCAACGTTAATCAACGGAGAGCAAGCAAAAACAAGATGTGCAGACTGACACAGAGGAGGGTCTGAAATTCTCCACTCGTTCTAGTAACGCGGGACCACAGAAACATGAAATAAAATAATAATGATCATGTGCAAGAGGTTTTAAATGTAACCGTACGATGCTGCTGAGGCTGCCACACTGTCTTGGGCTGGAGCGTGTCTGTGTCAGCAGGGAAATGGGGCGCTTTGCCTTACCTCCAGATGCTCTAAAATATAGGGTGGATTTGTCATGCCAAGCCTCAGCATCGCTCCCTCAGGGATCACTTCAACCAGTTTCCACAGCAGTGCGGGGAGATTGGTGCCAATGTCTCTGCCGTAAGCCCCCGTGTCTTCACTGGTCAACCATATCTCACAAACGCCCTCTGTGAATCAAAGGAGATAATGAACAAATCCGCTGCAGAGCTGTTTCCTTCATCATACAGCTGCTCGCTCTTTTTAATGCAGTATTACTCAACACCATTATGCGGGCAAGCGGGGTATTCAACTGCAGAGAAAAAGCAGCTTATCCCGTGGTGGCACTGGGTTATTAAGTTCATTTTACGAACACCAGAGAGTTACCACAATGCTGTAAATTATCGGTGCGTCCTATGGAGTGATTAACATTCACAGCCAATCAATTCAGCCGCGCTTCCTCCGGAGCACTTTGATCAGGACGCAAGCGACAATCCCATCACAATGAAGACCTACTTTCTGGAGCACCGCGAGTCTTGGAACTGAACAGTCACGGCACAGGAGAGGTGCTACCAGGAGTTAACTCACTCATCAGTCTGTCGCCGACCCAAAGAAAAATGTCAAGCGTAGTTAAGGTTTAATTCACAAATTATTAATTATGAGGTACCCATTTCTCCTGCAGCCACTATTCTAATTTGTTTTCTTTATTCAATTAAGAATAGAGTGCTCTACATTGCGGTGTTCAAAGAAGTCGGTTGCTGTATCAACTTAGTATTTGTGCTGAAAAACCTGTTTACTGGCAGCCTGCGTCCTGTTTTCCATCAATCAGACTTTAGGAGAACGCGTGTGTGTTTTGTTGTTACTGTTATTACGGAGAATCCTGACTTCAAATATTATGGCCTGCACTAACATCCTTTCAAAAATCAAAAAGAAACACGTCTGGGCAAACTAGTATTATTTAAAACGAGTAAAAGAGAGTTAGCAAGAGCCACCCAGGTTTTCAGAACCTTTCTGAAAGCATATTCGATTAAAGGATTAGCCTATTTTAAAAGGCCAAATGATTCACACAAAGCTAAGACCAACAATCAAACAGGCCTGTGAAATTTGTTCATGCTAAAGTGATTTGTTGCTTCAGAAGAACCTCGGCACACGCACCAGGCCCACAAAGACGACAGCCTGACCCAAAAGTATACATTTCTAGAAAGAGTCTTCAAATTATAATTTTAAATTGTCCTCAGTTGATGGAAGAGAAGAATTTAAAAAAAAATACATTTAAATATTCCCAGCCAAGGGAGACAACAAACAAAACACATGGCTTTTGTGTGAATGTGAACCTAAAAACCTACAGAAAAGAGAAGCGGAAAGTAAAGACTTTTACTCTCTTTAATGCCTTCCACAGAGGTGGAAAAATACACATGAAGCTGAGATCTCCAATAAGTACTCTTTCCTCTAGAATAAGAGATATATTTACTTTACCCAAAACCAGCCAAACCACATAACAACATGTTTCACTTTTCCCCAGGGTCTATCTTTCTGAGACATGCACATCCTCAAACACACCCGTACAACACAGAAAATACAAGGATAGAAACAAAATTTTAGTTTCCTGCAATTAAAGAATCAGTAACTTAGCATAGAGAACTGGAGGCATCAAAACAAAAACAAAAACAAAAACAAAAACAAAAACAAAAACAAGAAAACAGCCCTATTTAAAAAGTTGGAGATGTTTTCAGAATCTGCAAATCAGTAGTCCTGTGAATACACCGGTTTTCTCTATTTCAATTAAATATGTAGTTCCAGAAATCAATAAACATTTGCTTAGTTTTAATCATTTAATAAAAACTTTTCTCTTCAAAAGGAATAGTCTGCTATGCTCATAGGTTGTCCTTTGTAGTCAGACAGTTTTATAAATATTCCCAGCACATGGAGTAAATATTTTTCTATTTTAAGAAGAAGGGTTGCAATCAGTGGTATTATCTTTATTTAAATATTACATATGCCATCAGACAGTGGACTCCTACAACCTTTTTTCTCCCCCCCCCCGTTTGTTTTTAATCTTATCACAAAATCCACTCCAGGAAAAGAGATGGCTAAGTAACAGCATATACGGATTTTAAAACACTCTGAAAGAGGTTATAAAAACAGGACATTATCCCTGATTTTCCAGTTACTGGCACTTGAGCAACACAATATGAATATTTTAAAATGAACAGAATAATTTTAATTTATAATTTTTCCATCCAAATGGTTCCATGTTACGCCTTATGTAGAGAGAGCGAGTTCCTGGAACAGTGCCTTGCTGTTGCTAGATGAATATAGAAGGGGGAAAAATCACTATGAATAGGAATGGAAATAACATCCATGCAGAAAACAGCAGCCAGCTCTTAAAGCCGCATAGGTGGGGACCAATAGCCCCCTGGTGGGCTGAAACTTCAAATTAAATCACATAAAGAGGAAGCAGCTGTAACACTAAATCAGAGCAACAACAGGAATAATGGTCTTGATGTCTCCAAGATCAAGGCTGCTAAAATGCTCTTTATAACAGCAACCTGGGTTAAAACACAGTGAAATGAGAGCACATGTGCAAAATGTGAAATCCCAGGACTTTTGGCAAAGCGGGCCTTGCCAATTCCCTCCCAAAACGTGTCAAAGTTGATTCTGCTCTTAATCAACGTGAGAAAGTCGGATTTTGCGAGGTTCTATCTCAAGAATTCCAATGAGTTCTGATCCTTCCAATCGTGAGGATATAGAAAGTCATCTCACACTAACGGTGAAGCTAAATGCGGAATCCACTCCCTGCCATCCTTTTCTCTGGGAAGTCTGGTGATTACTCACTGTGCAAGCGGTTCCTGTCAGGTCCGCCTGCGTCTGAATTCACCAGGGGAAGTGCAGTCTGTGATCACTAATGGAGGCTGGGACACATGCATGCTTCTAGCCGCACACTTAATTGGCTATACTTATGGACAGAAGGGCTTGCCTAAACAGCTTCATTCCTTGAGGACTTCGGTTATGAGCTATATTCCTTTGCACATTCGTTTCTTTATTGGTCTATCAAACATTTATTAAGCCCTTCCCTACTATGTGCCCTGCATCAATTCAGCTCATGACAGATATGGATTCATCATTAAGCTTCTGTGAGCTAACACTGGCTATTATCCAGGAGCTGGCAAGGGGACATTAACAGACACCCTGGGAACTTCACATACATCCCTATCAGTGGTGGGGGCAGGGGGGCGGGGTGAGCGGGGGTGGGGGGAGGGGGGGCAGGGACTGGAGAACACAGCCCCAGACACCAGAATGAGAGGCTAGCTGGGCTGACTCAGGGGGGAGGATGATGTCAGCCACAATGAGATAGGCCCAGTCTGCTCTCCAGCGTGGACTGTGATGAATACGTGTCAGGAAAACAAACACATGAAAAAAAAAAAAAAAAAGATGTAAGCAGGAAGAACTGAGATAAGAGGAATGAATGCCCAGTAGAAACTCCCAGGCCTGTAAAAATAAACACGTGCAAAAAAAGGAAAGTAGGCGGTGGAAAAGTAGGACAGAAATTAGCTTTTTATAAGCATCTGAGGAGAGATTTTACTTTTTCCTGAAACTGTTTATCCATCTGATTTTTGTTTTCCTGAAATTGTTCATTTTGCCTTTTCTAATGAACATCAGGCTCATCAGATCAACTATCTTCCATTTGTTGGTGTTAATTCTGGTGAAAAGATGAACAAATACTAGGAAGGAATGAAATGTGTCTTACCAGGGAAAGTCCTCTAAAAGTTCAATTATTAGAATCCATTATCATTTTGCCCAAGTAATTATGGACCAGCCTACAGTTGAAATGCACAGTATTTTGGCCGAATGGAGAACCACCCCCACAGCTGGATTCTGATCTTTGCTCCAGAGTAATCTGAGATGACAGAGGACAGAAAAAGGAGAAGACATAAAAGGTTAACAAAAAAGAAAAAAAAAAAAAGATAATATCCTCAATAAAAGAGTCTCACAACAAAGAAAATCCTTTTTGAAAATCAAACTTTGCCAAAACTCAATTTCAAAAGCTTAGGACTCACTGTAACTGGCCCTATGTAGGGGCTTCAATGTAGTAGATGCAAATATGGGCAAAGACTGATTTCATCTAATCAGAGAACTGATTTTTTCCTCCAGTGGCTCTGGCTTTATCGTTTGGAAAATTTCTACCACACAAAGGTGATTCATTTGTCCCACTAGGAATAGAGTCTCTAAAAGTAAGGATTACAAAAACAGGAAAACTGTAAACAGTGATTAATGGGATCAAAAGGGAACGACAGCAGATAGCCAGAAGATCTTTATCCACGACAAAAAATTTTTTTAAAAAGTTCACCTCAAAATCTGCTAAGTCTTTCTTCTTCGGAACACGCTTGCCATCCTCTTCTCCTTCTGTCTTGTTCCCTTCGTGCCTGCCTTTGCCCTTCCCTTCCTTCTCTTTTTCCACCAGCCCATTCCAGTGCTCAATTTCCATCTTCCTCAAAGGCCAATAAGGAATATGAATTAAAAACAGAGTATGTTGTATTTATTTAATATGCATTCAATTCTCTCCTCTTAATTCCAGATCCTCTGTTTTAAGGATGACAAGGGCACATTAATTAGATTTTTATGGTTTGTCTTTTTCTTAAAAAAAAAACTTAGAAAATTCACAAATAACTATGAGTCTCTGATTAAGCACTGGAAGGGTCATGGAAATTTCTTCAGTGGTGATGTTTTTAAGTAATAATATATATAGCCAGTCCTCCACCTAATCAATCTATTCACTTAATAGTGAATTAGACAATATAACTTCTTTGATCCCTCTAATCCTATTATTGGATGCTCAAGGGTTTTGTAAAACAAACAAACAAACAAACACCGCTGAAATGACAATATTATTAAAGATAGCATCATAACAGGACCAACCATGGCTATCCTGGATAGAACAATGACGTACCATCAATTACCTCATTCTTCAACTATATTGTTTATACTATTGCAAACTAACAAAAGTTATCATAGGCATGAAGGTGTTTTTGCTAACTTTTTATTTTGAACAATGTTACATTTATAGAAAAATCTCAACAGTAGTACACCAAACAACTAACACACATACTCGGGTTTGTTTGTTTGTTTGTTTGTTTTTCCCTGAGAGTTAGTTGTGGACGTTGTAGCACTTTAAATCTCAATATGTCAGCAT